TAAAGTCCTTGTCTGCTAATTTCATCTTCTTTGTAATTTCTGGGTACGTTTCTATTGATGATTATACTCCTGGTTGTGGGTGATGTTTTCTGCTTCCTTTCTATGTGCAACATTTTTTGATTGGATATTACATTGCAAATTTATGTTGTTGCATGCTGGATTTTGTTGTTTTTATTTAAACAGTGTTGGACTTTATTATAGGTTAAATTAGTTTCAGTTCAGCTTGATCTTTTCAATACCTGTTTTTTAAGTTTTGTTAGGACAAATTTAGATGAGACATTTTTACGGCTAGGTTCACCCTAGTTCTATGGTATGATCCTTTTAGGATCTCTACTAAATGATGCCTGTGTTTAACCTGGATTCTCCACTTGGGCTGGTTGCCACTAAACTTCTCACTGTCCTGTGTGTGCTTGTGGAATTGTTCAGCTTATAGCTCTCTGGCTTCATGCACTTGCACCTATGTCTGCATGACTCAGCGTTCAGCAATAGGTCAAGGGAATCCCATGCAGATTGCTGGGGTTCTTTCTCTGAATAGCTCCCTCCAATCTGTCTCTTCAATTCAGAGTGCCCACTGAGCTCTGATCAGGTTTGCCCTCCTTGAACTGTTGTCTGAAAAGAGAACTCAGGCAGAAAGTCAGGGCAATTATAGGGCTCATCATGTTTGTTTCCCCTCTCTCAGCATGTTGCTTGTTGTACAATGTGTGAAAACAGTTTTGTATATTTTGTCCATTTTTCTAGTTCTTCACAGAAAGAAGGTGAATTCAGTTTCAGTAACTCCATTGTGGGTGGAAACAGAAGTTCTTTCACATTTCTCTTTTACTGTAGCTCTCTGTGTAGGTATGCCATTGAGGCTTTGATTTCAAAATTTTAAAAAATATCTAGTGGTTTTTAATTTCAATTATTATACTTTTCATATCTTGTAGTACTTGATTGACTTTTAAATCAACCTCATCCTGATTGATTGTAGTTTGTGCCTTGCTCCTGTTCTGTATTTTTTTCAAACATTTAATGTATATCATATTCTATATCTGACAGTTCTGCTATTTGATATTTGTGCTGAGTCTTGCTTACAGTCCCTTGATTCCCTTGTGAGTTTTGCAATTTTAGGTTCTGAGCTCATATTTGATGAGGCTTTATTTGTTGGAATCTTTTAAGGCTTGGGCTTAAATCTCCAGAGATTTATTTTTGCTTCTGCCAAGCTCTCACAAGGCTATTAACCTGAGATTGCTTTAAGGTAATTAACCAGCTTGGGGGTTATCTGGACTGCGCAGTAGTACAAATTAGAACCACACAGTGCATTAGGGCAAGCTGTGTTATAACTCATAGTAGTCTTTTTTTTCCTTTTTTTTTTTTTTTAACCTTTTACTGAGAACCTAACCCTGAGAGATACATTTTATTATCAGTTCTCTTTTCTGGTGGGTGAACATTTCCTTTTGTTTATATTTTTACTGAGGATGTAACCCTTCAGGATATGGAGGTTGGTCTCAGTTCTAAGTCTTCACCATTCCTTGGGCCCACAGTCTCATTTTCTGGTTTCCAATGGCCTTTAGAAAATAAACTTGTAGGCTACTGAGACTGGTAAATGCCTCAAGGTCAGGCACAGAGTCAGCTTTAATTTACCACTTTTGCTTGCACACTTTTTTCATTTTTTTGCCTCTGAGATTTTCATTATTATAATTATTACTATTAAACTCAGCTCTGTATTTGAAAGGATGTTCATTGTATTTAATCCAGGATTTCTAGGTGATTCATAGTGGGAGAAGTTTTCAGGATAGTTAGAACACCATAATTCTTGAAATGCAAGTCTTTCACTTCAGTTCTTCCCAAGGTTGACACTTTCTCCTCTTTTAGGTCTCATCTCAAATGCCTACATCTTATCATAATTATCCACCCCACCTCCTATCAGCCCTTTGCTCTCACATTACTCTTATTATCTTTCTCTCATCACACTCTGCAATAATCTTTCTCCAAAGGGTTTTCTCATATATATTGTCTGTCTCTCCCACTGGTATGTAAGAGCCATGGGAGTGGGCACCAAATCTCTCAATTTTCTTCTGTGTTTGCAACTCCAAGGACAGTGTGTTTCACCGAATGGGCACTCAAGTATTTGTTGGATAAATAATCTTTTTTTCTTGGAGTAAATATAAATAAACACACAACATAAAATATGTTTCTAAGACATGAGATTATGTCAGCAAGTACAACGTGTGAATGCTCAGAGTTCTCAGTTTCTTATTTACACCTTGTGCTCTTGAATCATCAAAAAGTTAGATGACTACTCTCCAATAATGTCAGAGAAGGAGACTGAGTTAACAACACATCGCTGCCCACCAATAGGCTGACATTAAATCAAGAACAGGACTACCCCAAAACATTCAAACTCTCTACCCTTGAGGGGTAACTCAAGCATCTTGAAAAATGTCATGGCCTAAAAGATAGCAGGTATTTCTATTTGAGCACGACTTTCATAATAAATTCTGAAGGTGTTGTTCTTCAGTCAAATAAAAAAATAAGAGTGATTTTTGTTACAGTATGTTGAGTTTTAATAAAATTTTCAGTAAGAATTATGAAAATTTGCCTCAGAGAGTAGCCTAAAAATATCTTCAGGATGTGACACTTTTCCACCTCTGAATAGAATTCAGAGCATCTGTGTCACCTACCTTGTTCTTGTAAGTGGGTAGAATTGTTTCACAGGGAATTGAGCTCTGCATTTAGCTATTTTGACTAATCAAATCCCAAGATAACATCTCTGAGCTTAGAAAATGAAATCTAATTTAAATATGGCTAATTTTCTCCCTTGCAAATCCTGGGAATTCTCTTATTTTAATAAAAACTTCAGACTGTTCATAACAGCTTTCTTTTGGGAAAAAAATATCTCCTGGAATAAAAATGCAATCATGTACCCTAATCCCCAACAATAACAACCACGCCATAAACATTTATTGAGTTCTTACAGTGGGCTGGGCACTGAGTTAAGAGAATTAGGTGCATATCTTTATTTAAACCTTAAAAATCCTCGTATGACATAGCGGTTACTATTATTTCCGCCTGTGAATAAACTGAGGTAAAGAGATTTGGGAACTTCTTCAAGGTGACATTGTGACAAGGCTAATTAGTGGAATTCAAGTTAGTCTATAACAATTCTTCATGTTGCTTCACAAAGAGAAATATCTTCAATGTTATTTCGAATGTTTCAGAAGCAGATTGAGCTCTTGAATTTCTAGGGCAGATGATTCCACATTCTTTTTTGCTTTATTGGTGGAAAACAGAATCAGAAATCCATATCATGAGTTGAGATGTTGTGTGCTTAGGTCACAAACCAAATTTGGTTGGAGGCTTTATTCATACATATTCCCAAAATTTTTTGAAAATACCCTTAGGTTTTATCTATTTTAAGGATAATATCAATGACATTTAATCTAAAATTGTATAATGAATTTTATTCAACTTCAGTGACAACTGCTATTTGATTTGAGTCTACAACCATGAATCTCGTTAAACTACTAGTTCATGAATGTTCCCTAACAAGTTAATCTTCTTTGATTAAAAATCTCAGCTGAGTTATGATCTCTGTTTAATCAACCTCTAAGTCAGACACCTGGAATCTATAATAAGGGTTTTCCATTTTCTTGTTTTTCAAGTTAAGGTCATTCTAAAGAATTATATATTGGCTATGTTGTTTCTTTAACTCTGATCATTTTTAAAAACTTGTTAATTCTCCATATTGCCTGGAGGTGGCATCTATAGCTGGAGAATTAGTGATGTATTAAAAACTTATCTTCTTGGTCAGTTTGGCTGGTACTTCATTTGGTTTAGCTTCATTTTCTTTTGCTTGTATGTTTTCTTGCTTTCTTTCCCCTTTCTTCATCTTGCATTCTTCCAGGGTTTCACCCAATTGGAAAGCTAAGTTCTTACCACATTAGCTCAGAAGGAAATACTCAAGTCCACCTGGACCAGGCACCAACCACACACTGAAATGATGCCCTGTAGTGGATCTTTTCAGCTGGTGGAGGTGGAAAAGTATAGAGACTCTAGAGAGCTGCTAAAATTTGATGAAGGCTGTGTTCAGCTTGCTTATGGCAGCTAACCATTTAAAAATCACAGGCTTTTTGTAAATAATGTACAATAGGCATATGTCCCTAAAAAGACTACACAGGCTATTTCCCCAACTTTATGTTTTCCAAGGCCAGGAGCTTAATTTTTCTTTTTCTTTTTCTGTTTTGTTTAACCTTGACTCTAGACCAAAAATAAAGAATGATACAACAGTCTCATACTGAAGAATTTTAAGAATTTTCTATGAAAAATGGGAGTTGTGAAATGAATTAACACTTCTTCAAGCAGAAATAATTACCTTGCCTCAAATTCAAAATGCATTGTCAACTACATTACAATTTTCTGGAAAAGAACTGTTGAGATAATACTCCATTGTCGCTTTGCATTTACACTGCCACAGTTATATCGTGCATCTAAAGGGCCAGCACTTGTGGGACACAGTGTCCTTCCAAATTTTTAGAAAATACAGAAATGAAAAACTTGAAAGGAGAGACTCTATGGAGAAGAAAATTAAGAGCAGAGAAAAACAATGACGAAATATTTAATTTCGAATTCCAGTACTAAAAATTATTTAAATTTAACTTTTTAAATGAATAAGTTGGCATTGTTTATTATTATTTTTTTGCTTAAAAATTGCCATGATTGAATTTTAAAAGGTAGAAAACCATGGGAAGTTAATTTTAATTTTTTTAAATAAATAAAACTTAATTTTATTTCCTTTGTTATATAAACAAATTTGTTTTGGATATTGAAAAAAAAAAAAACTTCCAACTTCTATTGTAAGTGCATATTAGCCCAGGAGGTTATTATTATTATTTTTTTTTGTCTCAGGAATTCAGTTCTTTCATTAATGAAGTCCCTTTATGTCTACGACTTAGAATAAATACTAATTAAGATGCAAACGCCAGTCGCATGCCCCCACGTGGTCTAAGAAATGATTCACTCACCTACAGTTTTGACAGTCGCTCACAACTGTTTCTCCACCCTTTGCTACATCTGGGGCTTTTTCCTTATGCAGACGCTCTTCTGCTTCTCCTAGGGGCCTGCTTTTGGAAAGAAAGGGTTCAGGTTCTCCAACACACTCTTCTCTTTGATCTGTTTCGATCTGAATCAAAGGCACTTCCCTTGAGCAAAGTGACAGCCTGGTGCGGTTTTGAGGGACAACGTCACAGCACGAGGAAGTTTCTTGTTTAGAATCGAAACTGTTGTGGTTTGTAAGAGGAGAGGTTTTGCTCGGAGACGACAGTGGGGGATGTTTGATTTCGGTAACAGAGTCTCTCCTCGTTTCCCCGACAGACTCCTGAACAAGCAGAGTTGGCCCACTGTGAACTCTGCTCGCAGCTAACCTGTTTGCACAAATCTCCACTTGCAAGGGACAGCCACCAGAATTAGGCTCAGCATCAGCTGCCTCTGCCTCATCCACGATAATTTTGTTCTTGCGCATGAGGGCCTCAATTGAGCTGGCCCACGTTTCGTGAATTAACATGTTTGTGATCTGGTCGGTCCCACCTCTTAGATACAAGCAAGAGTCAGATTTGCAAAGACCCGATGAGGAAGCGCTGCTGACTGGCTGCACGCTGAGGAAATGTTGCAGGCAGTTTTGAGCAAAGCTGTCTAAGGAGTTGGCCTTGATGGGTGCGTTCACTGTTAACCTGGAGCATGGGGATCTGCTATCGGGCATGGACGACTGTCTGCAGCACAATGGGGATCGCGGGGAGGGAGACAGCAAGCCAGCCGTCCAATCGTGGCTGCTTCGTCTGGAGGAGGGGCTATCTTTGCTTTCTCTCTCCATGTCCCTCAGCATGTACCTGTAGAACTCCTCCGTGATGCTCTCTGTGCTGGACTGCTTGGAGGGGCAGCTCGACCGCACGCCCAGGTGGTCATTTTTCCGGCACGCTTGTTGCATTGCTGAGCTCAGAATGCTGCTGGCATTCTTGCCCGCATAGTAATCCAGCAGTAACTCAAATCCTCTCCCTTCGTTTTCCATCTGGTTCACCATGAACCTGGAAAACTCATCCGTGATGCTCTCGCAGCTGGACTGTTTGGAGACTGAGCTGGCTCTGCTGACCGGCTGGCTTAAGGTGCTCATTAACCCCAGGCCGTTTCCGAAGGCCCTGGCCTCCGAGTCCTCCTCTGGGATGCTTTCACAGCTGGAGGCCTTCAGCCGGTTCCACCTGTCGCAGCCCCCCAGGAACCGATTCCGGGGATAGCCCTGGGCTTGCCCCACACCGTCCCCCATGGAGAACTCCGTCAGGTTCATGATCTTGGCTGCCACTTCATTTGCGAAAACATTGACAGAATCTGGGACGTCCTCCAGGTTCAGAGACTCGTCCACGACCCTGTTCATCAGCTTCTCCTTCAGTTCGGGGTGCTCGTCCGTCTTCCTCTTGATCTCACTGAGCCGGGGGGGCTTGTGTTTCCTCACAGCGGCCCCACCAGCCTGGCTTTCCTTCTTTCTCTTCAAGGACCGGCATGACACGTTTGGTGTAACCAGAAACTCGCTCCCTCTTTTCCATGCACAAAACCAGGGTTGTTTTCCACTGGAGTTGTCAAGGCAAATTGCTGCCATCTCAGTTGCCATGGAGACGACCGTCTCTGCTAATTCCTCGGCAAAGTCTGTAATGCAGTAGACGCCGGCGTGCTTCGCTTGCAGCATGGACTGAGCAGGAAGCGGCATGTCATCCCCTAACAGGGACAGATGAACTTGGGCTTCGTTGTTCAGAGGTGTGGCACAATTGCACTTCTCCTGGGTGTCTGGGGTGATACTGTCCTCAGCACCCTGGGAGCTGCGTCTGCACTTGCTGACTGTCAGTGCACTCTCTGCTCTGCAAGAGGCCCTGCCTTCATTCTCGCAGTGGCTGGGTGACTGATGAGGGGTTTCCGTATCCTCTGCCACTGTTCCTTTCAGATATATATCTTTGGGAGATGTTTTAGCAGTGGAAGAATCAGGGACTCTGTGACTACATGACACCTCAGATTGCAGTGTAGGGTTCCTGAAGAGGCCCCGCTCCAATAAGCCATTGCTGTCTTGCACAAAATCACTGATGAGGAGACCACCGCTGCGTGCTGTGCTAAGTGGGTGCCTGCTGGAGTGTTCAGTGGCTTCTGTCCATGCTTGATTAGCAGCTTGACCTGATGGCTGGCTGCCTAGTTCTGTCTTCCTCCACTGAATGGTCTCCTTAGAAAGGGCAGTGGGACATTCACCAAGCCGGGCGATATGGCTCATCTTCTTGAACGTGAAACATATCACACTGAAGAGCAGTTGATTTACACTTTCCATTAAGGTGTCCAGAGTTTCAGATGAATGCCTGTCATTGCCGGGGTCGATCATTTTATTTTTCTGGTGAACTTCATCAATGGAATGCTTCAGGATCACATGGGACAGGGTCTGGGCCAGTTCATTCCTGAGGACATTTTCTGAGCACAGAGTCTGAGGCTTTGAAGCAGTTTCTACGAACCTCCTGTTCATGGAGTCCATGAAGTCTCCAAGGCTGCTGTAGGTATTAGGCCTTGTTAAAACCAGAGCGGCCTCCTTAAGCAATCCCTCTGCAATGGCTTCCTTCTCCAGCTCCATGCTCCTCCCTGCTGCAAAACTACAAAGTGGGGGGATTGCTTCAGAAACCTCAGTTGTAGGCAAGAAGCCACTTGGAGCCATAGGGCATGTCACCTCTTCTCTTTCACCCAGGCCACAGACAGCAACGGCACTTGCCACCTGAGTCATGCCACACAAAGCAGATGGAAAGGAGTATTCGCTGATGGAAGGTTCCTGGAGGACTGGGTATGTTCGAGTTTGCGGTGCTTCATTGCCTCCCAGTGGACAGTTTGATACCAGGGATTCTTGCTCCAATCTGAGTCTTTCTGTGGCTTGTGGACTGGAAATGGTTCCAATCACAGTGGCTGCACAAGCTAACGCTACTTCTAGAGCACTCTGGGGATGACTGCTGGAGTTCTGTCCAGGGAGGACACCTGGGGTTTCAACAGAGGCTTCCATCTTGGGCCACGAGGAGATGCCTGGCTCAGGGACAGCATCGCTGCCGTCTGGACTCTGAACGATGACGATTTTGGGGAGCTCATTCCATGACTGAGAGTCCACTATATCTTTTGTGGAACAGCTACTGGGAAGTAGGGCCCTTTCTACAGGGACACTGACTGCAGGTTCCCAGAGTAGTGTAGGCTGAGACTGAGATAATCTAATAAATGCATCTTGCAGCACGGATTCTGCTAAATTTGTAGCATATTCGCCCGTCACGGCTTTTCCATTTTGTATAGGAGGAAGATAGTTTCTAGTGTTTTCATGGTCTTCTGGGTCTGAGTTGCTGCCCTGCTCAGTGAAAGTGCCACATGCGGAAGGCATACCTTTCTTAACCATCGTGGAGGAATAAGCATCATTCGGATTATACAGTGCCTGGGATTTTTCCACTTGACCTTTAAAATGTTCTGAATAACGATAATTTGTGGCTGTCCTCTCACTCCCCGCAGCTACACCTTTCCACTGTGGTGGCTTGGCTGAGGGATTTAGACTCTGCAAGTCAGTGTTGTCTACTACATCTTCCAGAGATCGTTCTGCTTTAATCAACGCTGTGTGATATTTGCTAATGCAGTTGTCTTCCAAGGCACAAATCAACTTTTCCTGATTGTAATTCCATTCCTCTTGGGTAGCTTCCTTTGGTTTTTCACTTTCCAAAACATTAGCTGAAACATTTATATTTTCATAACCTGGTGAAGAGAAAATGAGAGCCACTATTAGTTTTTGGATAGCAGGTCATCATGAGTCTAAAATAATAATTACTTTTTAAAAATGTCTTAAAGCATCAGCTATCTTTTTTTCCCTTTAAATATAGTATTCTGTATGTTTCTTCGAGAAAAGTGAATCTGAAAAGGTTTTTGAATTTTATTATGGATTGCCACCCAACAGAATGGCTTTCCACATGGGATATAAATGCAAGTGCCAGAGTAGGTGAGGACTGGTCACCATTCTTCAGGGGAAAGCAACCCAAACAATTGCATCCTAGAGCTTTCTAGTAGGTACAGAGGGAGAAGAAAGGATATTTAGAGCAACCTCAAGAGTGGACCTTGTTGCAAAGATTTGCTGTCAAGTTTGCATGGGACTTGCCCCAGAGACAGTGGAAGCAACATCTGGGGTATCCCTTCCTCAGTGGCTAAGAATGTGGGGAAGGAACCCATTGTTCATTGAGCTCTGTTAATGAGTCAACAGAAAGAGCCCAGAATAAATGAGTGCTGAGCACTTTACCGGGTTATCTCCTCTGTCCTCACACCAATCATTAGCTGTAGGCACTACTGTACTCCCAGATTACAGAGAAGGAAAAGAGAGCTCAGAAAGGTTAGATAATTTGCCCAGGTCTCACAGCCTCAAAGTGACAGTACTGGGGTTCAAATCCAGGCCATCCAACTTGGCTCCAGCTAATATACAGCTTTTATGGAAGTCTTAGGGAAGTTAACTTTCCTCCCAGTGACAGCCTCCCTCTCTTGGCACACAGGAGGATTTCCCCTTGAAACACACAGATTTCCTTCAGCATCCCTAAGGCATCTTTTGGAGTTTGGGTCCATTCAACCATTAAGTCTGCTAAGGGCACTAGTCAGCATCTTTATCAGTGTTCTCTTTTCCTCCTTCCTTCCTTAAAACTCAGCAAGTGAAGATTATGATGTGTCAGCCCAACTGATGTGGCTTGAAGCTTTTCTGAAATCTCACCGAGACCTTTTGTAGGGTGACTAATTTCAGGATATGCATTTGTTTCATTGGAACATTCTCACCATTCCTGTATTCTTCCACCTCGCTTTCCTCCTCCAAGTGCTCAGAAGCGGTGAGAAAGTCTTCCTCAATTGAGGACAAGGAACAGTTTGTGTCATCCTCCAGTTTCAAGATGTTTGTTTCCAGGTGGAGCTGCCGCTCCTGTACTAGTTCCAGACCAATCAAAAATTTGTTGATTTCAAAGATGATGCAATTGGTACTGTTTGCTTTGTTCCCTCTTGCACACTGGACCAAGCAGATATCTGGCAGCCAAGGGTACTAAAAGCAGAGGGAAAAAAGGCATTTATTAAAAAGAGAAAATAAAAGTCTATTGTCCTGACCTTTCTCTTTCTACCAATCTCTCCTGTTAAAAGGAATGGGGACTTTTAAAATACTTGAAATATTTTCTGGGCTTATATTGATGAACTGCTTGAAAAAAAATTGAAGTGATGTTTGGGAACACAGGGTACCTAGGAGAAAATCTGACTGAGGGTGAGATAGACCAGCTCTATTACAGTTTCTTCCTGTTAAAGCAAATATTAAACTGGGCAAAGTAAAACAGATAAGGAAGAGTTTATTGAAGGCTATTAAAGTAGGGGTGCCATAGATTAAATGTCCCCCCAAAACTTAATCCCTACTATGACAGTGTTAAGAGGGTGGGAAATCCTATTGTGGTAATTGAGAGGTGAGGCCTTAAAGAGGTGATTAGATTGTGGGAACCACGCCCTGGTGAATGGATTAATCCATTGATGGCTTAATGGTGGCCGTGGGTGTGGTTCTGAAGGCTTTAAAAGGAGGAATGAGGAGTTAGCTCTCTCTCTGCTCTGCCAATCTGCCGAGTGAGACCCCTGCATCACTGTCACCACCACCAAGGCCTTCTTCAGATGTGTTCTCCAGCCTCAGCAACTGTAAGTAATAAATTTTTTTTTTTTAACAAATTACCCAGTTTCAGGAATTTTATTATAAGCAACAGAAACAGACTAATACAAGGGGAGAGAGGCCAGAACTAGGTTGAACCACAGCTCCACTAAAACAAAAGGCAATAGGGTTCTTAGGAGCTGAGGTGAGGAGGAGATCTTAGGCCATTTGTGTTTGCTAATTGGCTTTACCTAAAGGAAAAGCAAACTTTCTTGTATCTTCATGACAGGAGGAAGTTTTACAACTTGGAGCGAGGTGCCCACAGAAGCAAGGCTCCTACCCTTCCACAGAGGCTGGGAGATTAGGCCCACTATCTTCCTTGATGATTACATTTCAAAGAGATTGCTCCCAGGTTTTTGAGAAACACATTCCTGGGGTGTAAACCTGGCATAAGCCTTTTAAAAAAGATTTTTATTTCAAAGAGGAAGAGAAAAAATTTACAATTATGTAAATTAATTTCTAAATTAAATGATGTAAGAAAAAAGTGATCAAGTTTGAAAGTCTGAAAGTAGTCTATTTTAGAAATGGGCAAAGGTTTTGACTTTGAGGGGAGTTAATTTTCTACTTGGGCTACTCACCTTGAAGCATCACTTGTTATAATGAGCCCAACCCTAGATTCAGCAAAAACCTTTTAATTGGTAAGGTCAGAGATCAATGCCTGGCATAGCAGTGGAGAAAATGTAGGACTGGTGTAGAAAAGCTCTTAAAACTCAGGTTTGGGTATTATTTCTTGTCATTGTGGTTTTGTCTAATATAGAGGGCACTTCGAGTCATTTTCTGTGTTTTTTCAAAAACCTGAACTTCTAAGAAAAAGTACTATTAGATTGACATCTTGAATAGCAAATTGTAATGGGCTATGTGTCAATCTTCACGAAGCACCTGGAATAGAGTAAGAAATAGTGCATGACTTTCTGGGTTTCTTGAGATTTGGAAGGATTGTAGGATAAAAGAAGATTTTAAAAAGCTACTGCAAAACTAAAAATCCAAGGAAGAACAGTTTGGTGGAAGACAAATGCTCATCATTTCAATCTGGATCTATGTTATACATACATCATTATAACATGCCTTATGTGTATTTTTCTTGTAAATTGATTAAACAATTTTACCTATGTTCCTTCAAATAAATGATGTTATAATGATTTGTATAATAGCAATGAACATGAATGCATTGAATGATAATAATAGTATTTTAGTCTTTACTTCATTTTTAAAAAATTTTAATTTTTGGCAGCTGGCTGGTACAGGGATCTGAACAGTTTTTACTTCATTTAAATAACATTTTTTTTTCTAAATGAGAATTTTATTTTTGGAGTCCAGGAAACTCCCTTTTCATCCTTGGGGCTACTGTCCTCTATTTGCTAGCTTGGCTAGTCTGGTATCTCCTAAGGAATAAAGAACATCTGAAAAGACAATATTGTGAGCTTCTGGGATCACAAGGTATGAATTAGAATTTTGGTACTGTTCCTAAAAGAGAAGACAGTTCTGTTTTTGATTATCCAGTAGATTTGTAGAAATCCAAGCTAAATAATCAAAGCTTTATATGTCTGCTTCAATTCAAGTACAATTTAGCACCACAAATTTGAGAAGATAATTGAAAGTAGGAGTTGATGTAACGGGAAACTGTTAACCTCTGAGTGGCAATATTTAGGAGAAATACAAATGAAGACTATTTTCAAATACAGAGATGTTGATTCGTATGCTATAGGAGCTTATGTGTAGCATCTGTTTTGGGTTCATAATGATTTGTGCTGAGCCGACTATAGAGAACTTATTATTAAGCAAATGGCTTATCAAGAACTTATATTTCTTACCTGTGAAACTTCAAAATCTGCCTGGAGATTCCCAGATGCTAACCCACTTAAGAGGACAATTTCATTTTCTTTTGGCTGTTGAACATTCATGGAGTTGATAAGTTTTGGAAGATCTGGTGAAATGTTGACCAATTTCTGTAGAGCAAGAATCTTTATTAGTTTAGATGATTTCTTTTTACTTTCAAAATACTACCAAGAAACTACCAAATAATTTTACTTGCAAAAATAATTTACTCATATAACTGCTCATAGTACATATTGCTTAATCTAATAAGATTATTACTAGAAGAAATTGTGTAAAATTAAAACCTAAGAGTTTAGATTGGAACAGAAAATTTAAGCTCTAGAAATTTTTACTTCTAAATTTTCCAAAGTAAATATTTAGTAATTACTGTCACACCACAGGTATAAACAGTAGTTTGAAAACATTTTTCTTTGTAAGGTCTTAGGAGAATTGTTTATTAATAATATTTTGTTCTAATAAAGCCAATTTTAATAATAATAAAATGATGACTAATTGATTTTATTCTGATTATGTACTAGGCACTATGCTAAGGAATGTACATATATTTCATCTCACTGCATATAATTTTTGCAATAAGTCTATATGGATTAATTACCATTATTACTTTCATTTAACACATAGCAGCTTAAGACCCAGAGAGGATTAATAACTCACACAATTTTATGTAACTTAATCAGTGCCAAAGTGTCTTCTCTTGGCGAAAGCAAAAGATTATCTCAAATCACTCACATCTATTCTTTTAATACACAGTTCTTAAGATGCCAATTTGCTTTGGTCCTTCCTGTGCTCTCTGTTTGATAGACTCTGCACCATAATTTGATCAGATAAATTTTGTACAATTTATTTTGAAAAATGGCTCCAGTACTACACAAATGATGATATTTGGAGCTTGGTGAAAATTTTTGATGGATAATCTATGTGGGCAACTGGGTTGAGAAGCTTCGGGTTCAGCATTGTCAAGAAAAAACATTATAGCAATAACAATGTGATTGCAGGTCTGCTGATCTGTGATGCTCAAGCTCCAAATGGTGAGCTGTTATACTTTAAACAGTATTACAGAGGTCAAACCAATGTCAGCTTTGGGCATAGAATGACAATCTTATCACACCACTTCATTCTTTCTATTGTACCAGAAGGCCCTGCTTCCAAAGAACTGAATAGACCTCCAAGTGTTTCAGTGTTGTCAAAGATTTACATCAGGGTATTCACAACCTTGCATGAACTTGGGATATTTAGCACCACAGTATGAAAAAACTTCAAGCCCCTCATGCATGTAAGACAATGAAGCCAAGGTTAGAGATAAAACATTTGATGAATGCAGCAGGAAGGGGCAAAGCTGAGAGACAGAGGGAATCCAGCTGGTTTTGTAAAGATCTTGGAAAAGTCATCTCAGACAGGGCATTTGAGAACAGAGGAAGGGGGGAGAGGAGAACGTCACATGAAGGCACTGGAGGGCAAGAGGAAGAATGCCTGCTTGAACAGTGCTGCCTACATGGAAAAGCACGGAACCATCTAAAGAGCCTCCTACAAAATGAGCACCATCTGCAGGATGAAGTCATACTAAATAGCCCTTGAGATGACCTTCTGGAGGGCTGGAGTTCCAAGTTTTACCTGCTGCAGGTGCTCTGGGCTGCATTCATCCTTGGTTACATCCAGGTTCACAAAGCAGACCTGGAAAAGAGGGCAAAAAAGTCAGTTAAGTGAAAAACGCGACAGTCCTTTCAGAAGAAAGTAAGAATCAGTTGTGGCAATGATTTGAAAGTTCTGCACATTTTATACAGTTTGGCATAGAAACAGCTGATTCACCTTTGGCCTTCTATGTAAATCTTCAACACCCTGCTCATGCTTCCCATCAGTCCCAGCAAATACCCTTTTCCTTTCATGGTCCAACACAGTAAAAAAATGTCTGCTTGTTTTAGAACCAATGTAACAGTCACAACAAAATCCTAAGATTTATAAGGCGTTATCAAATCTCATGAAACGGGGAAAGAAAGGACAGCCAGTGCCATGATGGACAGCACCAGTGCAACCTGCTGCCTTGCTGGCAGCAGCATTCCCTACCACTGCCACGGATACCAGTGCTGAATGAGTGGCTTGTGACAGCCACCACCATAGCAACTGCTGCTACAAGTGTGGCTTGCTGCCATGCCAGCAGCTGCTGCAGCCTCATAAGAGGCCCGCTGACCACTCATTTGCATAGACAGAAGGAGAGTCACCAGTGGGGCCAAGGGAAAGAGGTGACTGACCTCAGACCTGCGACCCAGTGGCCCAACTCACAAGGAGAATTAATACTTCATTATGCAGTAGCACAACTGGGGTTGCAAAGTATGTGTGAAGTTCACTGGACTTCCTTCATCTGAGGAGAGGCACATGTGGAATCCCCCAAGAATACAGAAACCCAGGACACTCAAATAGAGCAGGGAAGAAAATTCCCTATCAACACCAACCCGTCCCCCAACAAGGGAAAGCAAAGTCCCAGGAGGAACCTCTGCCTGTAGGAAAGAAGAAAGAGAAAACTCACCCAGGATCACTCATTCAAATCAAGGAGCACCAGTAGACCCCAGCACACCCATCAGGGACAGGAGGAACTAGCCAGGGTTCCAACAGGCCTGTCCAAGGTCACCCACCATAGCCAAAGAGTTACAGGGCTCCAATGCACTTCTCCCAAGAATTCAAGAGCTTGTCCATGTGTCACCACCCTCACCAAGGAATCACTAAGTGCCCCACGAACTAGGCCATGGAGGCTCTCACATATAATTTCAACATTGAATTTGATCAAAGTATCTACACAGAGACCACACTATGGCATCCACCAGGCACCAATACTAAAACACTCCATCCAATGGACCTTATAAAACACATCTACAGGAGGAACTCTCTCTCCTCAAAAGTCACTTCAGAGTACTAGAATAAGCAACTGCTCCACCAGATGACTAGATACCAATTCAGAGACAATAGAAATAAGAAAAAAAAAAAAAGAAAGAAAATATGACACCACCAAAGGAATATAATAATTCTGAGAGCAGGAAGTCTTTGAAAGGACTGAAAAGAAATTTTGAGCAATGATCTTAAGGAAGCTCAATGAGATATGAGAAGACTCAAGTAGATGACACAGTGAAATGAAAAAAAGTATACAGGATCTGAAGGAAGAAATGTACAAAGATATCAATGCCCTAAAAATGAATGCAGTTCGTGGAGCTGAAGGATTCATTTAACAAAATAAAAAACACAACCAAGAACTTAAAAAGCAGACAAGAACAAACAGAAAAAAAAATCTTGAAGATGGTCTTTTTGAGATAACCCAGGCAGACCAGGAAAAAAAAAAAAAAAAAAAAAAAAAAAAAAAAAAATCTTGAAGAGGGTTTTTTTGAGAAAACCCAGGCAGACCAGGAAAAAAAAAAAAAAAAAAAAAAGTAAAGAGAATTATTTAAGACAATGAAGAAAATTGAAGAGAGCTAGCAGACAACCTGAAGTGCACAAACATCCAAATCATGGCTGTTCCAGAAGGGGAGGAATAAGAAAAAGCATTGAAAACATATTCAATGAAATAATAGTGGAAAACTTCCCAGGTGTTAGGAGAGATACAAACCTTCAGATCCAGGAGGTTCGAAGGTCTCCAAACAGGTTCAATCCAAAAAGATCTTCCCTGATACACATTATAATCAAAATGGCAAAGCTCAAAGACAAGGAGAGAATTCAAAAAGCAGCAAGAGAGAAGTGCCAAATCTCCTGTAAGGGAGCCTCCATCAGTCTAACAGCAGACTTCTCAACTGAATCTCTACAGGCTGGAAGAAAATAGGAAGATATATTCAAAATACTAAAAGAAAAAATTGCCCGTCAAAATTACCATACTCAGCAAGGCTATCCATCAGAAATGAGGGAGAAATAGTGTATTTCCCAGACAAACTGCGGGAGTTCACTATTTTATGACCAGCCGTGCAAGAAATTCTCAAGGGAGTCCTACATGTGGAATCGAACATTGATAATCACTATTATGAATACACAAGAAAGAACAAAACTCACTGTTATAACAAAAATGCAAGTGAGAAAGAGAAAGAAACTAAATCATACCACCTCAAAAAACCAATAAACATTGAAGGCAAATAATAAAAGGGGAAGAAAGGAGCAAAAGTTATTTAAACATCTAAACAAAAAGCAATAAAATGCCAAGAGTAAATCAATACTTGCCAATAACAACCCTAAACATAAATGGATTGAATTCCCTCTTCAAAAGACAGACTGATTGGATTAAAAAGCTAGACCCAACTATATGCTATCTCCAAGAGACTTATCTTACCTGTAAAGACACACACAGACTAAAAGTGAAAGGTTGGGAAAGGTATACTATGAAAATGGAAACCCCAAACCAGCAGGAGTAGCTATTTTTATAACAGATAAAATAGACTTGAGACCAAAAACCATAAAAACAAAGAAGGCCACTATATGATGATAAAGGGATCTATCCAGCAAGAAGACATAACAATGATAAGTATGTATGCACCCAACACCAGAGTACCCAGATATATAAAACAAACACATTAGATCCAAAGAAAGAGATAGACCCCAATACTCAATAGTGGGGAATCTGAACACCCCTCTAGTGGCATTGGACAGATCATCTAGGCAACAAATCAACAGTGAAATACAGGATTTAAACTATACCTTAGACCAACTGGACTTGGTAGATATCTACAGAACATTTCATCCAACAACTACAGAATATTCATTCTTCTCATCAGCACATGGAACATTCACCAGGTTAGACCACATGGTAGGTCACAAAACAAATCTCAGCAAATTTTAAAAAATTGAAATCATTTCAAGTATCTTTTCAGATCACAATTGATTAAAACTAGAAATCAATAACAAGTGAAACTCTGGAAACTATGCAAATACATGGATACTAAGCAACAGGTTCCTGAATGACTATGGATCAAAAAGAAATTAACAGGAAATCAAAAATTCCTTGAAACTAACAAAAATAAAAACACATCATACCAAAACCTGTGGTATACTGCAAAAGCAGCACTAAGTGGGAAATTTATTGCCATAAACACTTACTCAGAAGATTAGAAAGACTTTAAATAAATGACCTAAAGCTACACCTCAAAGAACTAGAAAAACAAGAACAATCCAATCCTAAAAGTAGTAGGCAGGAAGAAATAATTAAGATCAGAACAGAACTAAATAAAATAGATACCCACCAAATGATACTAAAGATCAATGAAACAAAAAGTGTTTTTTTTTGAGAAGATAAATAAAATAGGCAAACTATTAGCTATGCTAACAAAAATAAAAAAGAAGACCCAAATATCAGAAATCAGACAAGGAAAGTGAGACATTGCTACCAATACCAGAGAAATACAAAGAGTCATTAGAGACTATTATAAACAACTATATGCCAACAAATATGAAAATCTGGAGGAAATGAATACATTTCTGGACACATACAAACTATCAAGACTGAACCAAGAATAAATAGAAAACCTGAACAGAACAATACAAGCAATGAGATTGAAGCAGCAACCAGCAGTCTCCCAAAAAAGAAAAGCTCAGGATGACTTTACTGCTAAATTCTATCAAAGCTTTAAAGAGGAATTCATAGAAATTCTCTTCAAACTGTTCCAAAAAATTGAAACACAGGCCACTCTCCCAAATTCATTCTACGAGGCAAACATCACCCTGATACAAAAACCAGACAAAGATACAACAACAACAAAAAGAAATCTATGGGCCAATATCTTTGATGGACATAGGCACAAAAATCCTCAGCAAAATATTAGCAATCAGAACACAGCAACACACCAAAAAAATTTATACACGATGATCAAGTGGGATTCACCCCAGGGATGCAAGGATGGTGATGGAGTTTGGATGTGTTGTCCCCTCCAAAACTCATGTGGAAATTTGATCTCCAATGTGGCAGTGCTGGAAACTGATTGAGTCATGGGGGTGGATCCCTCATGAATGAATTAATGCTGTCCCTGGGGGAGGGGGATTAATGAGTGAGTTCTCACTGTATTAGTTCCTGTGAGTACTTGTTGTTTAAAAGACCCTGACACCTCGTCTCTCTCTCTCTCTCTCTCTCTCTCTCTTTCGCTTCCTCTCACCATGTGATCTGCTTGTACCCGCCGGCTGCTGCCACTTTCCACCATGAGTAGCAGCAGCCTGAGGCTCGTGCCAGATGCAGCTGTCCCAGAATCATAAGCCAAATAAACCTCTTTTCCTTATAAATTCCCCAGTGTCAAGTAGTTCTGTTATAGCAACATGAAACAGACTAATACAGATGGTTTAACACACACAGATCAATAAATGTGGTACACCACTTCCAAAATCAAGGACAAAAACCTTATGATTATCTCCATAGATGGAGAAAAAGCATGTGACAAAATTCAACTTCCCTTCATGATAAACGCCCTCAGCAAATTAGCTGTAGAAGGAAAGTATCTTAATACAATAAAAGCCATATACAACAAACCCACTATGAATATCATTTTGAAAGGGGTAAAGCTGAAAGCTTTTCCCTTAAGATCAGGAAAAAACAAACAAACAAGGATGCCCACTCTCACCACTCCTATTTAACATAGTATTGGAAGTACTAGCCATGGAAATCAGGCAAGAGAAAGAAATAAAGGACATTCAGATTGGAAAGGATGAAGTTAAACTGTCCC